GGTAGCATTCAACTCAGAAACCAAATATTAAAGCAAATAATCATCGAATCTAAGCGAAGTCTAAAACAAGAGTAAATCGATCGTTTGGATGCAAGGCTAAAGCCTATATTGCGTAGCTTTAAAGGACAAAAAAGAATCAATTTACGCAGAAACGTTTTTGAGATATGGAAATAATAGGTACCACAAAATGAACACAAGGGAAAAAATATTACTGCGCTTGATGAACCTGCGAAGAGCTCCAAGGGGTCAAATATAAAAAAATGATTGTATAAGTCACAAGAGGAAGACATTACTAAGATTCCAAAACACTCAAAATTGACTACCTGTTGTTCTTTAAGACGCATGTATTTGGAATTGGTTGGAGGTCGGCACTCCGCTCGACTATACACTTGTCCAAACAATGAAAGTTTTTTTCCACTACTGGAACCAGGGCGAGAGCATGAGCTACTGCCAGAAGTGCCCGTTCCTGTGAGAAGGGAGACACCGACTGAAGTGGTGGATGCCGAATTGGCGGACGAAGAGTTTGATGATAAAATTTGGCTTGGAATGTCTCCAGCTGCGCCAATAGAACTTGATACTGATTGGCCACCAAGTTCTTCTTCACATAGGATTATTAGTTCCTGGCCCTGCATGACACCCGAACGGCGCGGCGGGCCCTGAGTCCCACTGGGGGAATTGACGCCAGCCTGGCCGGAAGCTGGTATAATCATAAGGAACCAAGAGAAATATATGCAATGCTGGATTTAATACAATAAGAACTACTAAAACGAAATAATGAAATTCGAACCGTAGTGAAGCTGGTAGTCTGTACATCAAAGAGAAATTTTAGGCATAAAAAAGGTTTGTCTTTGCACTTATAAAGCATAGAACTAGTAAGTGAAAAAATCAAAATACGACAGAAATAATACTTATTAAAGTATAAATAACTAAGTGCCTTATTAAAAAGCTATTAGCTTCGAATATCCAACAACCACATAAAAAGCAATGATCAGCAAATATTGTATGATAAACTTGTAATAACATATCCCAGTATCTGCTCACCACTGATTATTCAGGTTAGAGAACAGTGCATCTATAATAAACCTTTTTAACATGAAAACACACAGTGAATTTTTTGCAAAAATGCTTTGTAGTGTCGAACCACCTCAAACTATACTATCATCTAGAAAGAAACAAAAAATACACACCGAAACAGGGAATCAATGTATAAATAAAGATAAAGTAAGCTTATTAGGATGATAGCACCATTTTCAGCTTGACAAGGAAGTCGGAATATCCTTAATCTCCAATCTTGAGGGACGGATTTACGCACTACTTCCACGTGCACAGAATTCTGTTCTAAATAAGCTAGTTTTGACTCCTTTTTGCTATCAAACTATATATAGGCACTTAGCAGTAGGTATGGAAAGAAATCAGTGGGATCACAAAAGATTAAAATGATAATTTTTTTCGAATAATGTAAGATCTAATTAAATGCCTTTTAATTGGCATATCCATGTTTGCTAAAGATATTTAGATGTCTATCTACCGGCTTAGGAGAATACAGTATTCATGTTATCTACTAGACCTTTAGGATTAAGCTGAATGATTTCGCCGACTATTCCGGATTGTAGATACGAAGATAAACTTGGTTTCAATGAATCTCCTGAGATAACATTGTTAGGGGACCCTTATTACGAATGAAGAGATTCGTTGGTCGATAATCCAGATGAGGACGGATGAAACTCGTACTGCAGACGTTTGGTTTTTTATATGATATTCATGTTGACGCAGTACAACGAGATTCATCCGTCCTCATCTGGTGAGATCGATCAACGAATCTCTTCTTCATGCACTTTC